CTCGATTAGTTCCGGCTTTGATGAAGGTCCGCCTTCCGAAAAACAAAATGTGTTGTGATTGGTTAGCTGTCCCAGTGCGTTGTGATTGGCAAACAGCTTAGACGGTGTTTCAGTACTGCCACGCCCCTTGCTCCGTTTTTCAACAAAAGCTTTTGGGCGAATCCGGCAGGCACTGTACTCCCTCATGTTGTGGAAGCTGTCCTCAATAAAATGCGCAGCACACAATAGCAAATTGGGGTTATAATGCTCAGGAACAGAGTTAAAAAATAAATTGCAACCACTGTTTCCTGACATCATCCGCTTTCGGAAGCCCAAACAAAGACGTTTGGGCATGGGGTGAAAAAAACAGCGTTTCTTAAGGTGGTCGCACACCGGACGAGAAGCGCTACGCAGTGTCGCATCGCGCCACGTCTTTAAAATTCGAACACATTATTTTCTATGAGTGTAGGCACACCAGCGGTGCCGTTCGGCGTCTGTCCGCGGCGCCCAGCTACGTCGTGTTATACTTGTTGTGATTGTTCTAGACATGCCGAAAATTTGAAGCTACAGCACAGCAGCTCTTCTTCTTCATTTTCTCTGATGCACTAACTCTGCAGCAACACTTCTTCTTCGTCGTCTCGTCTGATGCACTCACTCAACCAAGCGTTCTAACCACAACCTCGCCCCTCCCCAACCATTCGAATTTCTGTAGGTGGGAATTATTTGTAATGATATTCCAATGAGCCGCTTTGTGATATCACAAAGCCCAGAAAACAAACGCTGTAGTCCAAACGAGCCGTTCGTTGTAGTTCTTGAAAACGGATTTTTTTTAAAACGAAATATCTCCCTTTGGAGTGGACTTTGAGATTTGTAACTTTCTAGATCTTTTTTATGCCCAAACATACACACTACACACTGACTAAAATTAAAAAAGTGAAAAAGCATAATAGGACCCCTTTAAAAATGTGTACCATTTTATAGTTTAATTGATTAATTTCATAGATTTTTTTTTTATTATCCAAGTTATTGTTAGGAAAAATGCTACAGTAACTTCTACTGGCTGTGGCTATTTTAATTCTAATTATTCTAACAGTTTAATGCAAATATTTATTTCACGTGTATTGCTACAAAAATAAAATCACACAAATCAGGGTTTTAAAAAATATTTAAATATGCCCCAAAATTGGGTAGCAGGGTTGTAAATAATTCTAATAATTAAAACACAGTAAATATTTAGTTTAGTCTCCTAAGGCTGACAGTCAACATTTCCTGAAGATTAAGTTTTGAATTCTGTTCTGTGTCTTTTAATGATATTCTAATGGACCGCTTTGTGATATCACAAAGCCCAGAAAACAAACGCTGTAGTTCAAACGAGCCGTTCGTTGTAGTTCTTGAAAAGGGATTTTTTAAAAACGAAATATCTCCCTTTGGAGTGGACTTTGAGATTTGTAACTTTCTAGATCTTTTTTATGCCCAAACATACACACTACACACTGACTAAAATTAAAAAAGTGAAAAAGCATAATAGGACCCCTTTAAGTAATAATCATGTTCCTTATAATGTAAGAGTTTGCAAAAGTGCCAGCGTTGCTTGTGCACATGAGGAAAAAAGCAGGGATTTGTCTGGTGAAAACTGTGTTGGTTGGAGAAGAGAGGTTGAAAAATAAGAGAGATTGGTGACATCGGCTGAAAAAGTAAAGTTGAATCAGCAAGTTACTACGTTCTGACAAAAGATTACAAATACAACCTTGTTTTTTTCTTTGGACTAAGATGCACTGAGGAATGGCTTGCAGTAAGAGGGGAAATAGAGCTAAACTGACCTGATCTGTATCTCAAGATAAACATGAAGTGCCATTTCCAGCCCACTGCACTTCTATAATCATGACGCATTGAGACAAACATTCAGCTGAAAGAAATGTGGGAGGATGAAAAGCTTGTGACAACAGCTTATTTGATTAGATAAAACATAAAATGCACAAAATTGAATCAGAGCAGATGATACGCCCTACATTGTCTTTATGCACAGATGCTTGAATCACGTCTGACATCTATGGTGGGATACTAACTTTATTTTTATTTGATAACCACTTGACTGAGCCGCCTGAGCTATTCCACTTAAGAAAGAAAGTCACATCTGAAACCAAATAAGCAAATGATAAGAGTTTATAATTTTGGCCTGAGCACATCTCTAGCCTAGCTAACAATGTGTTTGAAAATCAACACTTTAATTTATTAATGGTTACATGAAGATATTATCCCGAGTTAACCGGTTCCTGTGGCCCTGAACTATCACAAACATTGTGTTGGCCACATACTAGGTGTTCAGCTGGTGTTCAGGCAGACACACACTATAGTTTGGTGTTTCGCACTACACAACAGCTTCTAAGATGTAAACTGAGTGCTTCAGGATTAGTTGGTGAATTTGCATAAGACCAATATAGTAACTGTGCTGTGCGTGACTAGCAAACATGCATGCAAAACAGCACACGGCACACCATAAACAAGCCGATTCTGAGGCGTGAGCGCTTGTGGACAGTCAGTTCTCTTCACTCATGTAATGATGATGCCTTTTTGAGGACAGCAGTCTTTGCTTTGTTTCAAGTAGTTTTGCTCATATCAAAGGTCACTGGCAAACTAAGCAAGAATACAGCCAACAAGTGACCGTGTTACTGTAAATGCCCAAATTATGCTTTAAATATAGTCTGTAAGACAAAAATATCCTGTACGTAGTAAGAAGAGTAAATGGTTTTGAATACTGAGAACAGCACTGGTGTGTTATTTTACATTGAAATGGGAAACTGAAGAAACTGCTGCATGACTGCCAACAATGCTGCAAGAATTTAATTGTAATTATTACAGTAACTGCCTGGATTTGATGAATACAGAAAGAAAAATCCATTTCAGTTTCAATTTAAAAGTACTTTATTGGCATGATTGAGTTTACATACAATATTGCCAAAGCACATACACAAAACAAGTAGTGACAACACATTGTAACACTAACAAAAACAGTACAAACAAACAGAAAAGGTGCAAAGTAATGGATAAAAATATAATACTAAAAAACATGTATATATTTAAATAATATATGAATAAACATTTATCCATGCATTATGAAAACAAAATACTGTAATATATAAATATAAAATCTATAATAAAATAGTTGAAGACATGGTTACGGCTTGTCAGTGAGATACAGTAGTCTGTCGGGCTGTATGAGTGTAGAGTGCTCTGTTTCTGAGTAAGAGTGTGAGGTGTTTGTGCTGTTGGGTGAGGAGGAAGAGGAGGAGGAAGAGGAAGCGTGTTCTTGTTTGTGTAAAAGTGTGAGGTGTTTGTGCTGTTGGGGGAGGAGGAGGAGGAGGAGGAGGAAGCGTGTTCTTGTTTGTGTAAAAGTGTGAGGTGTTTGTGCTGTTGGGGGAGGAGGAGGAGGAGGAGGAGGAAGCGTGTTCTTGTTTGTGTAAAAGTGTGAGGTGTTTGTGCTGTTGGGGGAGGAGGAGGAGGAGGAGGAGGAAGCGTGTTCTTGTTTGTGTAAAAGTGTGAGGTGTTTGTGCTGTTGGGGGAGGAGGAGGAGGAGGAGGAGGAAGCGTGTTCTTGTTTGTGTAAAAGTGTGAGGTGTTTGTGCTGTTGGGGGAGGAGGAGGAGGAGGAGGAGGAAGCGTGTTCTTGTTTGTGTAAAAGTGTGAGGTGTTTGTGCTGTTGGGGGAGGAGGAGGAGGAGGAGGAGGAAGCGTGTTCTTGTTTGTGTAAAAGTGTGAGGTGTTTGTGCTGTTGGGGGAGGAGGAGGAGGAGGAGGAGGAAGCGTGTTCTTGTTTGTGTAAAAGTGTGAGGTGTTTGTGCTGTTGGGGGAGGAGGAGGAGGAGGAGGAGGAAGCGTGTTCTTGTTTGTGTAAAAGTGTGAGGTGTTTGTGCTGTTGGGGGAGGAGGAGGAGGAGGAGGAGGAAGCGTGTTCTTGTTTGTGTAAAAGTGTGAGGTGTTTGTGCTGTTGGGGGAGGAGGAGGAGGAGGAGGAGGAAGCGTGTTCTTGTTTGTGTAAAAGTGTGAGGTGTTTGTGCTGTTGGGGGAGGAGGAGGAGGAGGAGGAGGAAGCGTGTTCTTGTTTGTGTAAAAGTGTGAGGTGTTTGTGCTGTTGGGGGAGGAGGAGGAGGAGGAGGAGGAAGCGTGTTCTTGTTTGTGTAAAAGTGTGAGGTGTTTGTGCTGTTGGGGGAGGAGGAGGAGGAGGAGGAGGAAGCGTGTTCTTGTTTGTGTAAAAGTGTGAGGTGTTTGTGCTGTTGGGGGAGGAGGAGGAGGAGGAGGAGGAAGCGTGTTCTTGTTTGTGTAAAAGTGTGAGGTGTTTGTGCTGTTGGGGGAGGAGGAGGAGGAGGAGGAGGAAGCGTGTTCTTGTTTGTGTAAAAGTGTGAGGTGTTTGTGCTGTTGGGTGAGGAGGAGGAGGAGGAGGAGGAGGAAGTGTGTTCTTCTGAACAGTTCCCTGTCGAAGCAGCCGCTCCTGAGGAACACAGGTGAGTCTCTCCTCCTGATCTACAGCTGCTCTATCATGCTTTAAATGGCTTCATAAACGGCCATGAAACATTATACATAAACACACATAAAATACGGCAGCTTTCATTTCTTTCAAATTGCTTTATACATATTTATATGCTTTATATGTTATATTATACTGTTATAAGATATAGTTATGTGTGGATTGTGTGTTCAAATAGCGATTCTTTTCACTGTAAAAATATGATCAAGGAAAAAAAGTTCAGCAATGTTATACAGGATTCAACTCTTTTTTTAAAAGTCAGTTTCATTTAAGTTGAGGTGACTTAGATACGTTGATTGTACTTAAAATTAAAGGCTGTAACTTTTTTTTTAAGTATTGATGCTACAAATTAATATTTGATTTGCCAGAAGCCATAGATCCAAAAGCTTTAAACTCTCTCTCTCTCTCTCTCTCTGTCTCTGTCTCAGAACAGTGGCTGGAGCTGTTGAGTTAGTTTGAATCAGACAGCATCAGTGTGTGTGTGTGTGTGTGTGTGTGTGTGAGAGCGTCATGAGTGTGTGGCCCCTGCTGCTGCTGCTGCTCTCTGTGCCGCTCTGGATCTTCACTCGGGCGCTGGAGAGGGTCGAGCTCCGCGCCGGTCATGCGCTCACCTGTGGACAGGTACAGTACGAGCAACACGGCTGGCTTCCTAGCTAGACTGTTCACTTTTAAAGTTATTAATAAACGATGATATCGAGACGAAAGTAGCTTCAATTAGCTGAAGACATAAAACTGTTTTAAACATGCTTCAGTCCTGCTTTCTAACAGTTGTTAATGTAGTACAGTTGACTCGCTGCAGTTCCAGACATGTTTGTACATGGATACAGTTACTGGGAATCTGGCTGTTTGCTGTGGGGCAGTGTGCGTGTGTGTGTGTGAGTGTGAGTGTGAGTGTGAGTGTGAGTGTGTGTGTGTGTGTGTGTGTGTGTGTGTGTGTGAGAGAGAGTGTGTGTGTGTGT